GCGTCAAGGTGCCGCTGCGCAGCAGACGACAGAACGCGTTGCCATGACGACGTCGATGATGGCGTGACGACGAGCGTCAAGGTGCCGCTGCGCAGCAGACGACAGAACGCGTTGCCATGACGACGTCGATGATGGCGTGACGACGAGCGTCACGGTGCCGCTGCGCAGCAGACGACAGAACGCGTTGCCATGACGACGTCGATGATGGCGTGACGACGAGCGTCACGGTGCCGCTGCGCAGCAGACGACAGAACGCGTTGCCATGACGACGTCGATGATGGCGTGACGACGAGCGTCACGGTGCCGCCGCACAGCAGATGACAGAACGCGTTGCCGTGACGACGTCGATGATGGCATGACGACGAGTGATAACTTGCCGCCGCACAGCAGACGACAGAACGCGTTGCCGTGACAACGTCGATGACGGCAAGATGAGTGATAACTTGTCGCTGCGCAGCAGACGACAAAACCATGTTGCCATGACGATGTGGGTGACGACGACAACGCCGATGACTCCTGCGTGGCTGGAGGTGCGTGCAGCCTCCCGCCATGTGCTGGTCGCCGCGGTTACCGGCTGGACGGTCCGATGACGACCTGCTCGTACTTGCCGCCGCGCAGCTGGTGGTCGCGACTTCCTCCGACCGCCACCGTGCCGTCGCGCGACACAAACAGCTGCAGCCCGGACACTGCAAGCAAGCAAGCAGATAGAGTGTGAGAAGGGGGTCAAAATCCTGGGGCAAGTCCCACAACAACTCAGAAACTAACAAACAAAATATCAAGCAAATTATTTGGAGCGTGAGCACGGGCGTGAAATCCTGGGCTAATTTCCACAGCAACTCAGAAACGAATGAGCAAGCAAAATAGAATCCCCAAATAACTATATTTCCCTTTGACACTAAAAGCAATTTGAACAATGGGTAGTCGCAACACAAAATTCCTTCACGTAGTCCTATAGTGGAAAATTTAGAAATTAGAAATGAAGAAAAATTTCAATCTATATTTTAAAATCAAATCTATGACAGCAGGCGCCATCTGGCGTGCAACGCGTGGCGCCACCTACCTTCGGCGCTCTCGTCCGGCGTCAGGTTGGTTCCCAGCAGCAGCTCGTTGATGAGTTCGACGTTCTCGACGCGCGTGCTGTCCACCCTCCGCTCGACAAAACCCCCCGCCCCCGCCCCCGCCACCGCCCCCGCCCCCGCCGGCAGACCCCGCCACCTCTCCGTCGCCGCCGCCAGCTTGCTGCGCTCCATCGAGCTGAACGAGTCGCTCTTCACGTTTGTCACGTCGCTGCGGCTCCTGAAATCATGCACCAGAGGGCGTCGTTAGTGCCATCATGCACCAGGGGGCGTCGTTAGTGCCGCGAGCGATATGGCGGTAAATTAAAATTGATTAAATTTGATTAAATTTGATTAAATTGATACATTTATTAAAATTGATTATTTATTGAAATTAAATTTATTTATCGCGTGATTAATTAAAATTATATAATTCAATTTACGCAATCGTCGCCGACCGTCGAGGGAGCCCGCCCAGCGAATCGCGCTTACCGCTGGTGCATCAACAGGGGACCGTCTATGCTAGACTGTCGACTGTGCGTCCGCAGGCTGCCGTAGTCGGATGCCTTCGAGCTGTGGCTGTGAGAGCTGTTGTTGCGTGTGTGGCCCGCGCCGGGGCTTGGATCCTCACTGAGCGTGAGGCTCTGACCGAGGACCAGGTCTGAAGAGAGAGAGATGCAGCGATGATGATGACGGGTTCGCACGCTGTTTGCTTGCATTCTCTTTTCTATATCTCTCCTGCTTCCTCACTACCTAATTCTGTGTCTTTCTCTTTCGGTCTCTCTCTCTCTC